ATCAGGAAGCCTCTTGGGCTTCTACCAGGCTTCACCCCAATTTGGCTGTGTGCAGACTGACACTGTACCTGGCACTGAGGTTGTAAAGCTTTGAATAAGACTGGCCCAGCTCACCCCAGGACCCCAGGGAAAAGCCCGCTCTCCCCACCTGAAGAAGCTGTGTTGGAAGGAGCTATGTATTAAGAGGCAGCTCACCCACTTGGGTCTCCTTGATGCCCTTAAGCCCAGCCCCTCCCTGTTCCCAAGTCCCCAGAGAATCTCCCACTGCATCCCTCTTTGTAAAAAGAAATTAGGTTTCCCTGGCTGTTAATTGAATTACACTGCAGGGAAGCAGAGAAGTTGTGTCTCATTAAAGCCTCCTGTGTCCTCCTGGAGCACTGTGTTGCCTTTGTGGCTGCTATCAGCTCTGGTCACGCAGAACTCAGCCCTGCGTGTACAACCTCCTCTCCCTCCCCAGCTCCCCTTCCTGTATCCCTAAAGCTGCAGTCCCTGGTGCCTGCCCTAGGAGTGGCCTGCTGAGGCTGCCCACCGCAGAGCAGTCATAGCGTTTTGGTGACAGCCAAATTCCACTTCCCAAAGCCCGATACTGTGTGCACATGTGGCAGACAGTGAGAGGTGGCCTGCCCCTGCAACCACAGTAGCACAGGCTTGAAGAGGGAAGCACTGCTTTCTGGAAGTCTCAGTTTCCTCATCTGAAAAGTGGAGATAGTAAGACTTACTTCTCACAGCTGTTGTTAGGGGAGGTCAGTGAGCAATGAACCAAGGGGCCAAAGCATCCAGCGATTGCCTGCTCCATCAGGGCATCACGGCCACAGGGAGGCCATGGCACCGAGTCAAGAAATACATCAGGACCCAGGCTTTGGAGCTGGAGAATAATAACAGTACCTCCCCCACATGACTTTATTCATGAAAAGTACTAGAATACTGCCAGCGTGTGGTACACAGTCAGTTCCCAGTAAAAAGTAACCATAAAAAGTGTGTGTGAGTGTGTAGTGGGATCATGCACTTATGCAGTGCAAGACTGTGAGTAGGTGCGTGTTAGACAATCACATCAGGATACTGACATGCAATTGACAATTGCATCAGGTTACATGTGTGACACCACATGTGAGTTTACAGTAAGGATATCAGAGTGCAGGCTATGAGGGTGTGACTGTGTGTGTGTGTGTGTGTGTGTGTATCTGTGCTTCTGCAGGTGACTCCACATGAACATCTCTAGGGAATTCTTGGGATCTGCCTTCAACCCAGAAAGCGCTCTGGGGCACAGCCGGGTCTCAGTGCAGTGAGGGTTCAGTCATGTTTACTGCTGCGATTCAGTGGAGCCGAGACCTTGTGGAATAATACCCAGATTTCTCGAGGAGCCGCTACACGGCAGGCACTTTATATAGATGGACTGTTTGCCCCCATAATGACTCTGCAGGGTCAACAGCCATATCTTCACATCACAGAGAATGAGCCTGAGGCTCAGAGAAGTCAAGTAGACTGTCTTGAAGCCCACACAGCTGGTAGAGACGAAGGTAGAACTCACATCTGTCTGGCCTCCAAGCTCTTCAAGCTGGGTGGGGTCCTCAGAAGCAATCTCCTCTTCTTCACTGATGGGCTCCCCTGAACCTGCTGTGACAACATCGGGTTGTGCCACATGGTGCTCGTTGCCATAACAGTGGTGAAGGGAGCCCACCCCTAGCCCCAGGTGTGGTTATTACTCGGGGCTGAAGGACCAAGTGGGCTCTTGAGGTCCTGTTGTCTCTGGTTTTCCCTGTCTGTCTCTTCAAACAAACCTGATTGGGAAGACTCTGTGAGGTGGGACGGGCACGTATGGATACACAAGTTGTGCACTGCTCAAAGGTACGTAGCCTAAGGGGCAATTGGAGCCTGGGCCCCAGTCTCTGCTCCCTGGCACCATGTTGCATCCTGCCAGAGGGGTGCCTTTATAACTACACACAGGCCCTGGACAGGCTGATCAGTCCTACCTGGAGAGCAAACAGGGGTGAGCTGCAGATTTCTCACTCTGGTGCAGAGCCTTGAAGTTCTCCTACCAAAGGAAGACTCTTCCTTTCCCCTCCCTTCCTTGGAACTCTGAACTATGCTGAGGCTTGACCCTGTTATTATCCCCCTTGTGCATACATACGCACATGCATGCACACACACACACACGCACACACACCTCGATATGAACATCTCTCAGCTCCTCTGTGGCTTTAGCAGCAGCCCCTTGGGAACAAGGACTCCTCTTCCCCAGGAAGGCCTCAGGGCTCAGGCCCCCCAGCGGTGCTGGGCCCCAGTCTCTGATCGACTGATCACAGTGGGGAGAGCAGAAACAGCCCACGTGCCCCTCCCTCCCACACCCCCTCATTTCAATCCTCTAGGAAAAATGGAGGCTTCTGCAATGCAAGGCCTGACTTGTTGATGTAAAATCTTACTCTATATTCCACCCAGGTTTATACGAGTGAATTATGCAAATCTTTGATGGAAAAATATTCCTCCGCACATCCTTGAGAGTGTAAAACCTTAGTCAATAATTCATACTCGCATGTCTCTGACTGCAGGCTTTTTCTTCATTATAACTTGCACCTCGTTATTTGTCTTCTGAGTTTTATTGTATATCCTGGTGTAATGCCGTGCATTATAAAATTTATCTGCTTCATTATTTGATGAGCCAGTGCTAGGGATTGTGCTGAGATGCTGGTGCAGGGGCCGGGGGCCAGGACTGCCCTTAGTATCACGTCCCACACGACAGAAGACAGTAGGAATGGCTGGCGGCATGGTGACTTCAGGGATGCCAGAAACCACCCTTCATCCCCCACTCCTGTTCCCCTCCTGACCCACTGACTGGCATCTCAGGTTGCACCATTGCAGCCCCAGGCCTTCCTTCCTTTCTCCAAAGGCTTATTTGTCCTTAGAAGTCCAATGACCCTGGAGAGTTTGCTGGGAAGAATGTTGTTTAAAACTGGAGGGGAAGACAAATCCAGAGGACCCTAGGAGGGGAAGAAAGGGCAGCCACTGAAGTGGAGCAGGGACGTGGTACCCAGAGGGGATCCCCTGGGTTGAGGAGTATAAAAGGAGAGAAGACAGAGCATCCTCTTGTCCCACCGTCCAAGCAGGCTGAGGGGGATACGGTGAGCGGGTGAGCCGGGTCTCGGCTCTGCAGAACTCAATGTGAGGAGGCGTCCTCCCCGCAACAGCGGGTGGGGAATGCAGTCTGATTCTTACAGGCACCACAGCGCCCCCCAGCGTGTGTACTCCAGGATGGTTCATGGGCACTCCCACGACAAGAGCACTGGAGACCTGCACTCTGAGAGGCAAGGTTTCCCAGGAAGGTGATGAGGGAAAGGCAAGGGCAAGGACAGTTTCCCAGCTGCATCAGACCCAGTGTAGGTCTCTGGGAACTGCCCTGCACATCGCTGCCTCTGGGCCTTTGCTCCAGCAGGTTCCAGCGCCCCGGTTGCCCTTTCCTCCGCTCTCCCCGTTGGCATCCTGCCCCGTCAGGCGCTGAGCCCCTCTCCTAGCACAGAACTCGGCAGTCATTCCTGGAATGGCTATTTTGTTGTCTGTTCTCACTACTGCAAGGAAAGACCCTGGGACGGGGTTTGTCCCGCTCACTGTTGGCTCCAGAGCCCAGCATGAGGCCCAGTACATAGTAGGTGTGCAGTCATTGCTGGCTGAATGGCTGGCTGATGCCTCCCCAGACACCCCTCTGCCAAAGTTAGTTTCTCCTGCTACCTCTGTGAAACACACTCATCAGATTTTGCTCATTTTCATGTTGCTCAAGCAAGTCTCAACCTCCTCCCCCCCCTTCCCCACTCCCAGGGGGGCAAGGACCCCATCTCATGTCATGTGTATCCCCCAGCCTGGTACCGTGCTGTGTACTGGCATAGGTGCTGGACACGTGTTTGTTGAGTTGATGAAAGAGAAAGGGGACAGAATTTGACTGGCAGCAGAGACCATCTTTCCCTCTGCCCCTCCCCTCCCCCTGCTGCTGGCCACGGTGCTCAGGCCTGCGGAGGGTCAGGACTGAGATTCCTCTTGTCTGGGCAGTGGGAGGGCTCTCTCGATGGCTAGCCAGGGCCTTGGCTGTCCCATGATGATTTTCTCAGGTGAGTAGTGGGCAGGGGGAGGGAGCTGTTAGTGCACTTGAAAGAGCTTAATTATGGTGCTGCTCGCCAGGGTTTTCCGTTGCATTTTGTTTGGAAGAACAGGGGAGTTTCTCAGCTGTTTGGGAGGGCCCTGCTGCCTAGAAGCAGGGGGTAAACCAGCTGACTGCTGTGGAAGAAAGGGCTTGAGCCTGGACACAAAGCAGAGGCCCCAGTATTTTAGAGCAGTGCTTGCAGCCTTGGGTCCACAGAGGTCCATGCATCCAACTCAAGGGGTCCATGAATTTGGGCAGGGGTAAAATGGCATCTTGGGTTTTTTTCACTAACTTCTAGTTGAAATTTAGTACTTCTTCCATTTTGAACATAAGCAACAAGCCACTGCAGTAGCAGTACCTGTGACTATGACCAATAGGTATTTTCATCACAGCTGTTGCAGAATATCTCACAATACGTTTATGCTCATCACTACTACAAAATTGTTCTCATGTGGCCCGGCAATAGGTCTTGTTTCATAAGGAGTAATAAAGAGCATGTATTATAATGTGATATGCTATTTCAAAAGCTTGCTTTTGAGTGTCAATATTTGTACGACCATACTTCCATACATCTGGTTTCCTTTGTCATTTTATGTATGTTATGCATTTTAAAAGATTCTGAAAAGGGGTCCATGGGATATCAGAACCCCTGGTGAAAAGAGAGGCTACTCCCGCCATGATGGGCAGGGAAGAAAGGGGACAGGCGAGGGGCTTTTCTGTATCCCACCCCCAGCCGTTATTAGACCCTTTCTCTGGGGCTGAGATGCTCTGCGGGAGGGGCAGCGGGGGCGGGGCCTCCGCGCTGGGCACCTGCCCCTCCCCCGCCCGGCCTCCCGCCCTCACTGGGACCTCCTGCGCCTCTTCCCCTTCCCAGTCCCGGCCATGATCACCTCCCACCCCAACACCACCATCGCCATCAAGGGCCATGCCAAGGAGCTCAACTGCACCGCGCGGGGAGAGCGGCCCATCATCATCCGCTGGGAGAAGGGGGACACGGTCATCGACCCGGACCGTGTCATGCGGTATGCCATCGCCACCAAGGACAACGGCGACGAGGTTGTCTCCACGCTGAAGGTGAGCATCCACGGCCCTGTCTCAGGGGGACCCCGACTCTCAGAAAGTAGGGAGCTGGCAACTATTACATCTATAGCCAATGGAGATAAATGGGGAGTCTGGGAACCCCTCTCCCACCCCCAAAAGTATCTTCCCTTTCCTACCCATTTCCCTTCTCCATCCAGGAACCTCTGCCTTAGAGCACCGCTCTATCTTCTTTCTGACAACCCCACAGCCATTAAATGTGTGGGCCCCTCAGCCCCTCCCTCCTGGGACCCCTCAGCCCCTCCCTTCCTCCTGGACCCCTCCGCCCTTCCCTTCCTCCTGGGATTGCCTTAAGCACCTCCCTGCATGGACTCTTCTGCACCTTCATTCATTCTTTGAACTTTCTGTGAAGAGGAGCCCTTGACAAACCGCTGGTGGATTCCCTCCCAGAAGAAGGTGGCCTTGCTGA